CTTTCACATCTCTGACATCCAGAAGGACTTCCTCCTGAAAGCAGGGTGCACACCAGCACACATGGCCCACGGCCCCGCAGCAAAAGTGCCACACGCGCTCCCCTGGGTGTCGGGCCCCCTGGGCTCGGCTCCACCCGCACTAGCAAGGACTCAGGCAGCGCGTGGTCTGCAGTAATCACTACGCCAGGCTATCCCCAGGCCCTCAACAGCGGCACCGGGAGGAAGAAAGCCTCAGAATCCCCAAGTGCCCGCCATGTGCGGTCATGTGCAGAGGGAGGTGCCATCGCCTGCTCAGCCTTGCCACACCCCGACAGGAACGGACACATCCACAGCGTCAACATCTTGTGAAATGCCGGGCAGGTGCGGTCATCCACGGCAGAGACATTGGCAGCGCGAGACGCAGGTGGTGGGGCCCAGAGAGGGGGTCGCTTAACACACGGCTGGCCCGCCGAGTCCCACCGCCACACTGAACCCCACAGTCACGTCGGCCCCTCTTCATCTGTGGGAGGGGACGTGGCTTGAGAGCAGACCAATAAGCCTGGGACGGCAGGCCTGCATCCCGCAAGGTCCCTTCGAGGCTCCCTGAGCAGGGCATACATTTCCAAATGAGGATTCTAAGAGGTGTTATTTATTAGTAATGATGATAATAACACCAATCGTGACACACCGTGAGCCCCAGAAGAACCGAGCAGCTGAGCACAGAGTCCCTTAGCTCCCAGCTATTTGCCAGGAGCCACAGGTGCCCAACGGAGCTCGGTGCTGGGTGGGGGGTGTGATCCGATGGGCCCCACAGGAGCGGACCACCTACTTCAGGACCCGAGAGACACATCAAGTTCTTCCTAGTTTACAAGACCCTACGTCCCAAGCAGTAAATAGATTTCCCTTTGTTCTTCACAGCAGGCAGAGCCTGGGTCCTGCTCTCCAGGCCGTGTGACCAAGGGGCCGAATGCTGAGTGGGCCACACAGGAGCGAGGCCCAGTACTGGCGTCCGCAGGGGCTCGGTGAGCTTTCCCGGGTGTGCGTGGTCTGCGTGGCCTTCCTGTCAGAAGCCCACCCCCCAGTCCCTCAAGGCACTGCGAGCCACAGCTCAGTATATGACGTTGTAACTGTTGTCAATCAAGTAGCCCTGACAACAACCCTCCTCATTGGCTGGGTCTCCTCCCCAAAACTACGAGATCCCACTGGCCTCTCAGACCCACTGGCTGCATTGAAGCAACACTCAGGCTTGTCATCCCACACGTACAGGCTTGGAAACAGATTCTGAGTTTTCACAACTTCCCCGCGCATCTGCCTCCCACAGGTGCCTCTCCTCCATGCTTTCGCTCACTCAGCCCTCACCCCGGGGCCCGGCTCTCAGGAGGAAGCTGCTGTGCATCCCTCGGCATCTCCCCCAAAAGGACCTTCTTTCCATTGTAGTAAAATACACACAATACAAAATTTACCATCTTGACTATTTTCAAGTGCACAGGTCGATGGCATTAAGTACACGCACACTGTTGTGCAACCATCGCCACCATCCATCTCCAGAACTTTCCATCCTCCCAAAAAGACACTCTGCCCACTCTCCTTTCTGTCCCTGGAGTGACTCCTCTAGGGCCTCAGGGAAGCGAAATCACACAGCCTTTGTCCTTTTGTGCCTGACTTGTGTCCTGAGCATGATGCCCTCCGGGCTTCTCCATGTCATACGTCAGAATTTCCTTTTTCAGGCTGAATACCATCCCGTTGTGTGCAGGGACCACATTTGCTGATCTAGTCGTCCTTGGAGGGACACGTGGGGCGATTCCACCCCTTGGCTGTTGTGACTAATGCTGCCATGAACAAAGGTGTGCAGGATCTGTTCCCAACCCTGCTTTCAGCTTGTGTGTCTGTGCCCAGAAGTGGGATTGCTGGACCATATGGTGATTCTGTTAACTTGCTACGGAACAGCCAGACTGTCTCCAACCAGCAGCACCCGGCAGTTCCAATTTTTCCCTTGCCAACGCTTATTTTACGTGTGGTTGGTTGTTTTTTTATAATGACCATCTGAATGGGTGAGAAAAATTAAAAACTTTAACCAAAAAATATTTTCCAGGTGCAGGATGAAGAGGAACCTTTGTTGTTTAGATGGCCACGTCTGCCCTCCTGCTAGAAGGTGGCAAAGCCAACTTGAACAGGCCTGGCTGTCAGTCTTCCAAATCCCTGACTTGTAAGTGGGTTCAGAGGCCATTAAAAGGAAGTAGAGTGAATGGTGCCTGGGAAGAACCAGCTGCGAACAGACGTGGGTGTTTGGAGGTTCAGCGGATTAGCAGAGCTGCCCCCCAAAACGGGGCCTGAGAGCCTGCGAGGCCTGGCACACACCCTCAATGCCAACCTCAGGCCACTCCTCTCTGTACCCTGACCACCCTGCGCCCACACCACTGCCAGGCGAGGGGAGTGGCATCTGCAGCTAGGTGCTGCCAGTTCTTTGCGGCCAGGCTGAAGGCAGGAGTTGGCACCAGGCCCTCTTCTTTCGATCTGAGCCGTCAATGAGCCTGGAGGACTTGGCCTCTTAGTGAAGCGCCAGAAGGTACGCCCCAGAGAACAATGGGAAAAAGTCAAGGTTTTTCCCTCCAATATTTTATTTAAATATTAAATTAAAAAACATACATCCACTAATCATTTGGCATACATTTGTCATGTTAACATAAGAAACAAAATAATTAATTCAGTTATAGTAAAAAAAAACAACAAACCAAACCATATACATCTTAATCAGATCAGAGTGCCTTTGAATGGCTACCGCATTCATTCGGGAACAGCACTGTGGAGAAACCTATAAAACACACGTCACACACACTTAAACGAGACACACACCTTGACTGACAGCAACGAGAAAGAAAACCACGGGGAACGTAAAGTGCTTGTCGTTGTTCTGAGGCCTTTGATCTCTGGGTTAGAACAGAACTGATGTTCAAAAGGGAAACTGGTTCTGTGTTGGACTCCACGTGCTGCTGTCTCTGTGAGGAGGCAAAGGCCCATGACCCCAGGTTCTCTCTCAGTCCCCAACCTTCCTTACAAGTCAGCGGAAGCAAGGACAGTCCTTTGCCCCCATCATTGAAGCAGCCACAGAGCAGCAGCAGTGGTGGCAGGAAGGACAGCAGCAGCAAGCTGGGCAGACGCAGACGCAGGGCCAGCAGCGGCTGTGTCCTCTCTGGGCCACCACCTCCCCTCCCTCCAGAAACTCCGGTGATCTTTGGCTTTTATAAATGCTGACCTTCCCCTGCCATTACCTGTTAATACTGAGGGTGTAAGAGCCAAGAGAGCTGAAGGCACCTGGGGGTAAAGGACCAGTGCTGACCAGGCAGAGGGAGCACACAGTAGTGTCCTCCCTTCACTCAGAGGCCCATGGCCACCGGAGCCACTACCTGGGTCTACCTGCCAGGTAAGGGCAACTTGTCTTCCTCCTCCACACAGACCTGGTGTAGCACTTTGTAACATTGCCAGAGGGGAATTTAAACCAGGAACACAAAGGTGTAGTAAAAAATATAAAAAATAAGTAGTGTCTGTCTATTTATACACATATACAGTATTTGCTTAAAAAGGAACAAAGCTTGAACAATAATGACCTGACCTCTCATTCCATTTTCTTGAACAAAAGCCTAACAGATATGGGCCTGGGGAAGGTGGGGCTGTCCGACAGTGACCCGTGAGTGCAGGCGGTCGCCGCCCACTGTCCCAGTCCCAGCCTCACTATATTGCACATCCCCCAGTCAGCTGTTCTTTTTGGACCCTGATAATGAAATGCGTAAAAACGTAATTAGCAGCGGAAATAAGATGTGCGGCAGGAGGTAACTTCCCTCGCAGGCACCCAGGCCCTGTGCCAAGTGCCAGGACAGAGCCTACCCGCCCCTTTGAGGTTCTTTCTTGTGGCTCCTCCGAAGACTCCTGGAATCGACCACCAAGCAGTTCATAACACTCCCATCTAAAACAAGAAAAAGTGAGCCTCGGTGTTCTGACTTCAAGAGAGAGAATTCCAAGAATTTGCAGATTATCTTCTCCTGGGCTGGCCATTAGAGCTTTTTAAAAACTTGTGCATAAAGCACAAAGTTCACAGCTTTCATTCGAAGCATAAATGTTTCAGGAAGTGGAACTGTTCATTAAAAAAGGATGCTACTCAGCCCCGCACGCGCACACACGTGGCGGAGGTGCACACACTTGTTCCCACGGCGCGTGGCTCACACTGTGGCTTTGTCCAAGGCAGTGCCCTCCGTGACCTGATGCGCCCATGGACGGGGAGCTGATGGTCCCCTCCTGCCGCCACCTGACCACAGTGGCGCTGGCCTGTGAGCGGGGCCAGCACTGTCCTCTGTCTTGTCGCTTCCCTCCTTCTCCCTCCTGTCCACCCACCCCCACAACACACCCTCAATTATTATTTTTCTTCAGAAACTTTCCAGTCCCTACTCACAGCAGCAGCTGTTCAGTGCAAGGAGAAAATAAAACAAAAATAAACTAAAAAGCCAAAACACCAAACGTATTGCTTGTTTTGCTTCTCAGAAGTTATTGGCTTTGAGTCCGGAATCGCCTTCACATACTCTTGAGATTATTGCTTCGAGGAGTCAGCAGCCCATGCAGGAGGAGGGTGGCATGGTAGCCCTCACTGCACCAGGACAAACGTGCCCAGCTGGCCTGAGGTCAGGTCCTCCATCTCACAGTCCCCCTGCGGCAGCCCCATGGGGTCGAAACCCGAGGGCAGCATGGCGAAGTGTGGCTGCAGGGGTGTGGCGGCAGGGAGGGGTGCCGTGGCAGTGCTGATGTGCAGGTGGGTGTCCAAGAGGTGGGCCGCTGAGGCCACCGGGGAGACCCCGGCCTGGAGGAGGTGGGGTGGCAGCAGCGGGCCAGGCCCCAGCCCCAGCTCCTTCTGGAGTCCTGACACAAGGAGGGCACTGTCACAGGGGGCCAGGACCAGCGGGACTGCGGGCAGCTGGGGAGCCTGCTGGCAGCTGGGCGGAGCTGCTGGGTGGTGCTGTAACTGCAGCAACCTGGAGGGACACAAGGAACAGGGAGGGCAACAGGTCACTGCCCGCTCTGAGCACTGCTTCTCCCGACAAGTTCCACCCGGCCAGGCTCAGACACCATCAGGTTTCCACGCCCCGTGGAAGTGCTGGCTGGAGCTGCCCAGAACACGAAATGCTGTGTGTGACTAACCCCTGAGCAATTCCTGACATTTCCATTCTGTCGTGCTTTTACAGCAGCTCAGAGATGCCAACCAGAGGTGACATTCTTATTCATGCCCCCCCTTCAGCCCCCACTTACAGGCTTCACAGTGACAAAACCTGACTGCTCCCCACCTCTGCCACCATCTGCAGGAACAAGGCCCACAGATCTCCCCACACTTGGGGTAGGGAGGCACACTCATCTGATCACATGGAGAAGGGGGAGCTTAGGAAACAAGGTTGCTCAAGAAATCCCAGTGGACCCGAGTGCTACCAAGGTCAAGGGCGACTAGTGCAGAGCAGGCATACCTTTGCTGGTGCAGCACCTCCTCCAGCAGGCCCCTGCCTTCCCGGCTGCTGGCCCCGCTGCCATGCAGGCCTGGGCTCTGAGCGGGCAGCTGGAAAGCGCTCAGGCCTCCCCGAGTGGCCCGGCTGGACGAGGGCTGGCACACCTGGCGAGCCAGCCCCTTGATCTTGTTCAGGCCCAGAAACCCTTTGGTCCTCGCGTTCTTCCTCAGCTGCTGCCGAAAGGCTTTCAGGCCTGGGGAGAGGCAGACGGAGATGGTCTATGGCCCTCCATCCCAGCCCAGGACCAGCAGCCCACGGCTGGCTGGAGTTCCAGATGGAGGGGAGGGAGGAGGAGGAACGGGCAACATGAAAATGATGGATAAAAGGACTGGTATGCTTTCCTACAGGGCTGAGGGTGCTCTCTGGTCATCTAAATACTTTCCATGACCCCTCCACGCCCCATGCAAGGTTAGGAAGTCATCTTTAAGGTTGGATTTGGGGCAGCAGTTCCAGTACTGAATAGGCATGCATCTGGGCAGACTGAGATCCTCTGTGGAAGGGCAGAACAGTGCCACGGAACTAGGGAGGGAGCTCAGGGCCCCCAAGCCCTGGGTGGCATGGTGGGAGCCCAGGCAGCCAGGTGTGGAGGGTCCCTCCCTCACCCCACCCCCTTCTAGGGCAGGAGCTGCTGCTTGGCACCCAAGTGTCTCTTGAGCTTCTAAGACCAGCCACTAGAGGCCAGGTGACTTTGTCCCAGGACACCAGGCTGTCTAGAACCCGGTGGCCCCTTCGATCTGTTCAGGGAGCATTGCTGCTCGACCTAGGCCCGGCTAGGGGATGGGGGAACTTCTGCCATCCAGGACAAAGGGAAACCTGCCAGGGCACACGGCATCTGGAGGGAAGGTGGGAATGAGAGTGAAGGGGAAGTCACCTTGAGTGAGTGAGGTGTCCGAAGCCCTCCGGCCTTCCTGGAAACTGATGGGGAGCAGGGCAGCTCCTCCCAGGGCCCCCTGCGCCTGCAGCACCGGTGTGGCAGACTGGGCCCCCAGCAGTGGTGAGGCCAGTTTGAGTGGAGAACAGGTGCCCACCAGCCCCTGAGCAGCCAGGCATCCACTAAGCCCCGCTGGGCTATCCCCCGCCGAGAAGGTCAGACAGCTGTCAGAGCTGGTGCCTTCTGAAGGACTCGCCGACGAGGAGGAGATGACTATACCTGCAGAAGGGACAGGGTGCTCTTGGCGGGGGAGGCACATGCTCCCCACGGCCCATGCAGCCCACCAACACCCACGTCGTGTTCCCCATGCCCATGGCAGTGACTCTCAGGCCCTTGAGTAGCCCTTGAGGCCACTGACAGAGGCAGACAGCTGTACTGTCCTCCCCACATCTTTCCTCAACGTTGGGGGAGTGGGAGTCTATGACAGCCAGAGGCCAGGGAGCCCTGACAGCCAGCGCAGGAGTCCTGGCTGCAGGTGATATGTGGAGCTGACCCAGGACACAGAAGGGCCAGGGATGAGGACCTGTCCTCCTGACACCTGGGGGCAGCTAACACCCACTATCCCCACCATGGAATGACCACCTGCAGTGTCTACATGTGATCCTTGTGGCCTCGGGGGTTAAATCCAAGAAGTATGATAAGAAGAAACCACCCAGCATAAAAGGTGTGTTTTGCATCAGCCCCTTGTAGTCCCAACCATAAACCCGCCCACCAGGCTGTGCTCCTGCCCACGTGGACACTTACATGGAGGGATACACGGGGAGAAGGTGGAGACCTCGGCCAGTGTGTGCCTCCGGACCGTGCTGCCAGGCAGGGGTCTCTGCGCCTCTGGCTCCTCCTTCAGGCCCTGGCCCTGCCTGACCTCCTCACTGATGGTCGTGTCCAGCAGGCTGCTGGGGGAGACCGAGCGATGCCGGAACACGCCATTGCAGTTGGTGTCCACAGGGAAGAGCCAGGGCTGTGCGGGGAGGAAATGAACCAGTGACCCTGGGGCTCTGGGTGACCTGGCATGGGGTCATCACCACCCCTGGGAATGAGATAAGCCCCCGCCCCAGACGCCACCCTTCACAGACGCTCACACACCTGGAGCGAGCTGTGGAGGTCACAGTCCATTTCGGCCTGCAGGATAGACTGCCCCAAGGCCTGGGGCTGTGGGCACAGCAGAGAGGACCGGAAAGCATCACCGGGAAGGCCTTCCTGAGGCACCTGTGAGCCAGCATGGAAGGACAGAAGCTATCAGTGGCTCTGGGATAACCACGAGCATCCCCAGAAACACCATGCTGGCCTCCCTCTGGCGCGAGCAGATGTCAGCCACCAGCTGACCAGGCTCAGGACACGTGCACCCTCCCTCCCTCCCAGGCTGCGCACATGGAAATGACCAGGGGGAGGCACCGAGGCCGGCACCAGGGTCAACTGGCCACAGGCGGGGCATGACCCCCAACAGAATGACTAGCACCCCCTCTTCTGCATCCTCTGGTCTGGGGCTCACAGGAGGATGCGGGACAAAATGAACAGGCCAACACGGGCTCAGCCTGTGTCTGGCTCCCAGGAACATCTGAGCAAGGGATTCCTAACTCAGGGGACACAGGTGGGGCTTTAGGAGAGTCCTCCTCACCTCCAAACTGCTATGGTCCAAGCTCCTGGGCCTCTGCTGCCGGGCCGGGCCCGGCCGGGCTGACGGCGGGGTGTTGCGGTACTCCTTCAGCCGCTCCAGGAGGAGGTAATAAATGGCTGCGAAGTGATTATAGCTGCTGTTCTGCAGTGACTGGGAAGGCAGAGCAGAGAAGCGGGTCAGAGCCGGGCCAGAGGAGAGGACGGAACAGCAGGGGGGCCGTGTGCAGGTGGCACTCAGGACGGCTCCTCGGGTCACTGAGGCTCCCTGACAAGGCTGTTCCCAGGGTTATTCTTGGGTGGCCCAGAATATCCTTTAGAAGAGTGGACAAGCTGGCCCTTAAATTAGCCCGTGTTCCCATTTTAACTCAACTAGCAACTGACTGCTTTTCCTGATAAAGGCGTCTCCCCCCCTGCCCGCCCCCCGCCACAAGAACAAGCAAAGTGGGAGGAGGGACGGGCAACGCTCACCTCCACGGTCCTCTGCCGGTCCACCCCGAGGGTCTGCATGATGCCCAGCACCTGCTCGTCATAGTCGCCCAGGTTGGAGTTGTAGCTGAGAGCAGCGTTCGTGGGGCGAGTGAGTGGCAGGGTGGGGTCGGCCTGCATCCACTTGTGCTGCCGGATCTGGGCGATGCTGATGCGCTTGGCAGGGTCCACCACCAGCATGCGGCGGATCAGCGTCTCACAGTCTGGGGGTCAAGGGAGGCGCACTGAGCCGGGCAGTCCGCCTGTGCACACGGTCCCCACCGCCCACTGGGTTGCCACCTCAGCCCTGCAGGGGACGAGCTCCCTTCAAGTGACCATTCTAAAGAACACCAATGCCAGGAGCACTGACCTGGGCCAGTGGCTCAGACCAGCCACCAGAGATGCCCCCCACCGAGCGGCGGGTCTCCGAGTGGGACACAGTCCTCCTAATGTCCCTACAGAGACCACTTAGCTCCCCGTGCTGCTGTGACCACACAAGTCAGTGGACATCTTTATTGAATGGAAGAGGAAAGCACGAGTGTGGAGCAGGTGAGACTCGGGGGGCACTGGGCGGGGACTCCAGAGACCAAGCCTTCAGCCAGCTCCAGGAGACACCCTCAGAGGAAGGCACCTGTCCGGCCATAAGTAGGGCACTCAAAACACACCCCGTGGGTTGGGTTTCTTTTACAGGTAAACACCCTACAGTAACACCGGCCTGACTCACAAACCCAGAAGACAGTCAAGCAGGCATTTCAGGAAATAAATTTAAGGCTCGGCGCACACCTACCTCGAGACATGAAGAAGGGGATTCGGAACCGGCCCTCAAGCACCCGCTGCCGCAGGGCTGGCAGGCTGGGCCCGTCAAAGGGGAGAGATCCGCAGACGAGGACGTACAGCACAACGCCAAGGCTCTGCAAACAACCAGACAGCACGGTCAGCGCCTGCTCGCCTTGCTGGTGCACACAGCTCTAGCGTGGGCACCTAACACGCTGCGCACAGGGCTCCTACCCAGATGTCCAGCTGGGGGCCTTCATACTCCTTCCCCTCAAAGACTTCCGGAGCCGCGTACGGGGGGCTCCCACACCATGTAGACAGAGGCTCTCCCGACTTGTAGAAATTCCCAAACCCAAAGTCTGAAAGACAAAGAAACAGACGATGAAGCTGTGGTGGAAACAGTAGGGGCCTCGGTTTCAAAAGTGTCCGAGCAAAAAGCACCAGGACCCTGGCTTGCATACGTCCCCCTCCCACAAGGCAACGCTTCCTGGGTGCGGGTGGGGGGGGGGGGCGCCCTCCTCACCTGCCAGCTTGATGTCCATGTTGCCATCCAGCAGCAGATTCTCGGTCTTGAGGTCCCGGTGCACGATGTGATGGCTGTGGCAGTACTCCACGGCCGACAGAATCTGCGAGAACTTCTTCCGTGCTTCATTCTCGCTGAGGTGCCCATTGGAAGTCAAATAATCTGAGGAGCGACAAAACAAAATTATAGCCTCCAAGTCCACAGTGCAGCCGCCGTCTGCGGCACAAGTGAAGAATGCTGTGGGATGTTCAGGTGGGTAGACCCCAACATTGGAGGAGCAATTCCTGACAAGTGAGAACCATTGGTTTTCAACAGGTATGAAAAGTGTGGCTTACCAAACATTTCTCCATTTTTTGCAAATTCAGTGACAATGTAAAGCATATCCTTTGTTTCCATTACCTAAAAAAATAAAGACCTAAACATTAAACCACACGGAGAGAGAACATACCAGAGATATTAGTAATCTACCTGAACCCCAGGGAATTAACTTCTCCAGATGAGTGCATTCATCATTTTTGGAAAGGAAAAACGAGCAAACAAACAAAAACCTTCTGCAATAAAGAAACACATCAGGGGATTCCTATTCAGGAGAGTCTTTTCAACGTCAGAGGTGATTCCTCACTAGCCTGCCTGTCCTGATGTATCTTGGCTCAGTAAAGGTCTGAGTGTATTCGAATTCTCCTACGTTGTAGTTTTAACTCACTTTGCCTCACCCACCAGAGGATTCTGGAGGCTACAGAAATAAAAGCAATACGGGAGTTCTGCTACAGCTTTCTTCTAGAAGCGTAGCAGGCAGCAGATTATTCAAGCCAATGGCCAGCACGGCTGAATAATAGATGGCAAATACCCTTCCCCACATGCGTTGGTAACATGATTAAGTAGGCCACAAAAAGCCGGCTCTGCCGGGTAAGCCACAGCAGTCTGCTGTGTACAGAAAACGACTCAGCATGTGTCAGCAGCAACAGCCAGTGTCAGGCACACCTTAAAGCTTCCCTTCCTGAGTGAGCATTTTCTTTCACTTTGAAAAATTGTTTTGAAAGAATTTAAAACGTAACTAAGAAACAAGGTACAATTCAAATATTTGTACTGAAAGTAAAAGGAACTCATATCCAGGTATTTTAAAAGGGAGATAGAGAGATAATACATTCTACAGAAAAAGATTTCTTCAGGGCTCAAAACATAGTTATTCCTTTAAAAAGAATACTTTAAACACAACTGCTTTGTGCTGTAAATCTGAAAAGCAAAGCAAACAACAGGCAGTTTAGCTAGAATTTTCACAGCCCTTGCCCTCGATGTGTGCACTGAGTGACGAGTTCATTCCTTTTCTCAGTGAGAAAAAAAAAAAAGAGAGAGACAGAGAAAGAATGAAGAGTGAATGTGTTTTAAGTTTAAAAAAAAAAAAAAACCTCAAGGAAAGAGTTTAGTGTCTCACCAAGGTTCTGGGCCTGAGCCAGCTGGATGAAAATCAGATACCATGTCAAAGCCAGGGCAAGAACTACCACTGCTGTCCCGAACAGTCAGAGCAACACGCAGAGCAATAAGAAAATTCACCCCCGGAGAGTCCTCACTTGGATCGTGTGGGCAAGGCATCGCTAACTGGGCTACTCCACATAGGGGCCAGCGGGTTCAGGAGGGCAAGGCAGCCACGCTCTGGCTCATCCCTCCAACTCAGTCTAAAGCAGACAGGGGTCAGCCCGCTGCTGCGGAAACAGGCTGGGCACATTTCTCAGGCACTGACATCAGTGACCCAGGAGGAAACTTCCGACCCACGCGGCAACTTACATATGGCAACAGAAACAAAACACAAGCCAGAGAGCAGGTGACCAACCAGAGAGCAGGTGACAGGTGATGTGTGTGCCACACTTAAAAATGATGAGTAAACTGTCATTCTGGAAACACGAGCCCCATGACAACTTCTACCTTCATTTTAACTGAGTAAAGAGCCTTCCGTGGGATCATTTTCAATTACAGTCCTGTCTCCTGCCCATTGTATGCCCTGCCAACTGCACAAACACGCCTACCATCCCATATTCATTTCAGTCTCTTGGGGTTTCATGAGAGTCATCAAAAGGAACTTACAGCCAACACAACTAGACGGAATAGCAAGCAATTTGCAAAGAACTTCTCCTCTTGCACGAGACTACTTCATAGTCACAGAAGTGGCCACTAAGAAAGAGATTGCTTTGCTGTCCTAATTAAACCACCACTTATTTTCCAAAGATGTACTTTATAGTTTCAACAGGAGAACAAAAATAAAGTCACAAAACAAACCAACAAACGGACAGCGTGAAGCCTGTCGTTAACGTGGATTAAATAGCAAGCTCCCTGCTCTCACCACAGCAAAAGCTCCGTTTTGATGGGATTTTACTTGGGGGAAGACAAGAGCTCACTGCTGCCTTTGCAAAGGCAAGTTTAGGAAAACTGGTAAAAGCAGCTGGTCCGAAAGTTTAATAATCTGCAAAGGCAGAAGTGTCTAGTTTCACTGGAACTTGTCCTTCTACACTAAATCCTTGACTTGTGTCAATACATAGATCTGGTTGTTTATCTTCATAGTAAAGGCAAGAACATCCCACCTCCATGCATTTAAAACTGCAACAAATCATAATACTAAGTAAGATCTTCATGAAGCAAATCTCAACTATGACCCCAAAGCAAGAAAATAACTGTAAGTAAATCTTCACCACGTACAGACATCAGTCTATTTACCTTATACAACCAACCCCCTGACCCCCACATACACCCAAAGAGAGGGGGGCAGCCTCCAGAAACTGCAGACTTAGGTCATTGGACATAAAAACGAAAGCACTTGCCAGAAGTCACAGAGAAAGGCAAACTGGGTCCTTACCTGATAAAGTTTTATGATATGGGGGTGATTCAGAAGCTTCATGATCTGAACCTCACGATATATTTTCTCCAAATTGCTTGAATCTAGGCGTGTTTTGTCGATTATTTTTATTGCTACCTATAGATTTTTTAAAAGAAAAAGGATATTTTGTGTTTTATTTTTATTTTAAAAAACCTCTCACTTAACCTAATTTAAACATTTCATTTTTGCAGGTTAATTTCTAAAACACTTTGTCCCCAAGAAGTCACAAAAAGTTGGGGGGGGGGGAAGGTGAGGGGAATAACCAAAGTAACCCTTCATATTACTTAAAATAGCCGAAGTTAAATAATTGTACTGTCTTCGCAGGCTCACTTGGCAGGGCGTTAGCTCTGGAACGGAGAGCACTGCACCCCTGGGTTATTGGATCATTATCCTCTTTGCTGCCCCCTAATATTCGTACAAATTATGCAATCGTAATATAAAACATTTTTCTTCTCTACCAAACTAAAAATTGCCCGCGTTTAGACGGACCCTACAGGCAGGCGTCCCACCCGGCTGGCTGCCCGCAGGCAGGGTCCACCCCAGGCAGGGTCCGCTCCTGGTCGGCCCGCGCCCCACGCACCTGGGTTTTGGTGACTCGGTGCCGGGCCAGCTTCACCACCGCGAAGTTGCCCTTGCCCAGGGTCCGCTCGATGTCGTAAAAGCCCACCCGCAGGGGCTTCTGCGGGCCCTGGCTCACGCCCGCTGGGGCCGCGCTGAA